TTTTTTTTTTTTTTTTTTTTTTTTTTTTTTTTTTTTTTGTTCTTAGGTCTGCTTTCCATCTGTGGTGCAGCAATGGGACTGCTGGTATTTCTTAAACCGGAGAGTTCAGCTGGATTGCCGTGGAGCAGACACACCTCCTATATAAGGGGAGGCAAACACTCTTTCCTGTGTAATTGATGTAGCTTGAGCTTTGGAGCCCAGTCAGAAGCCAGACTGAAGGAGAATCTTTGGAGTCGTAAGGTGAAACTTGAACATTTTGTTTGTTATGGCACAGGTATGGCTTGGAGTCTTTAGCTGGAAATTCAGAGCAATTACCTCTCTCACAGATGAGTTAAACAGCTCAYAACATGCAGTATTTCACAGGGAAGGAAGGTAAAAGGTGGTTGGTGTTGTGTGGGGTGGTTTCTTGTTGGGTTTTTTGGTGGTTTTGGTTATTTTTTAGATTCCCTCAAGTTTCAGTTTTCATCTTTCAAGAGAAAGATATGGATTGTAAAGATCTTCCTGGATGTCACTGAGTGTGTTTTGGGGAGTTACTTTGTCTGATGAAGTCAGGTAGAAGCAGAAAGCCTTCTTAAAGCTGAGTGRATATTAAGGCTTCACCCCTCAAGTGGAGTAAATCCTCTGAGAGCAAGGTCAGGTGCAGGAGGAGGTGCTGCAGCAGTCTGCAAGTTTAGTGTTCTCAGTAGAATCCTGACTCTGGATGCCTGTAGGGCTGGAAGTAGTTGATCCCAGGTCTGTGGTACTTTAATGAAGGACAGAGCAGTATTACCTTGGATGTAARGGCTAATGGCACTGGCACCCCAGACAAGGCTGTGCAGCTGCCCAGAGGATGAGTGCTGGTGTGTGAGCRAAGCGTGGTACATATCACAACCAGAGCTGGCTGTAAGGTGCTTTGGGATACCTCTGAACAGTACCAGCAGAAGCAGCAGTCTCCATCCTGGATCATCCCACGTTCACTCCTCGAAGGGTGATTGTAACCTGGTCCTACACAGCACAGAACTATTACAAAAACACAGTACTCCACCTGCTATTCTTAACCCAGTCAGTCTCTCCGTTCAACAAGTTTGTGTGTTCCAATAAAAACAACCTAGCTGTGCACTTTTCTGTAGCTTTTGCTGAGAACTCTTCCCAGGTTGGCACCTGAATGCCTTACTCTCAGCAGTCAGAGGCTTGCTTGCTCTGTGTGCAGGTTATTGCCATAGAATAGTTAGGACCTACAGCTTCTTTCCTTCCCCATTAAATAGTGGCCTTGTTCAGTATATTTCTTTTTAACAATTGCTTACTGTTGGAAGCAATGAAGCACATTCTGGGGTTTTGATGGCTGGGGACTCTGGTGATGGTTCCATATAAGATGGGATCTTATTACTTGCTGTATTCTTAACTTCTGCTAATAAAAGAACCAAAAGGATTATTGTCTAGCGTGGGTCTTTCTGCACTGTGTGGGAAAGGGGCTGAGGACGCGAAGAACAAGAGCTGGTTGAAAGAGGGCCAYTGCTGGAGACATCAGTGGCTGTGGGCAAAATTTTAGGTGAGCTGAGATCAAGAAAAGAAGTTCAGGAGGCTTGGCCTTAAACTCCTGGGGCACAGGAAATGTCTCCCATCCTGTACCCATGTAAAAGATTGATCATCTCCTCCTGGTGTGTATGTTTAGGGGTGGCACAAGTGGGAAGGAGTGGGGTTTGACTSTGGAGGGAGAGGGGATGGTGCTGGCCAGAAGAGCCTGAGCCCAGAGTGGGGCCTTCTCAAGGCCCTTCACTCCAGGTGAGTGCTCTGCAGCGATTTGTAAGAGAGCTCCTGTTAATGACCTCAACAGCTTGATGGATGCCTTAGGATGGATTATTAATATTACTGTTTTGGGGTTTTTTATTTATGTTGGTGTTGGTTGTTTTGGGTTTTTGGGGTGGGGGGGTTGGGTGTTTGGATTTTTTTTTGGGGGGGGGGGTTTATTTGTTTTTTGTTTTGGTGTGGGGTTTTTTTTGAGATTTTTTTTAATGAAAAGTAAATTCAACAAATGTGGAGATCGTTGCCATCAGATTTCAAACAAATTACCCTAAAAGTAGCTGCCACATTTCAATATGAATTGGGTGTATYCTGTTTCCAGAAAGCAGAGTGATACTTAAAAGTTGTCTGGGCAGGATAAAATTGTCCTACCTCCTGTGCATGTGGTTGTGGTCATACTCTGCCCTCTCCCAATAATCATTTGGTTCATTCACTGCCAAGTATCCTGAGTATGGATTAAAGTGCTGCAATCCAGGTGAGTGTCTAAGGCCATGTCTAACTTTCTAAGGAGCTGGAAATACATGAAGCACATGATGAGGACAGAAGAGCTGACTGGTCTAGTTGAAGCTGTTAAAGGCTTCCTTGCAAAACTTGAGTTCTTTTTCCCTTCCTCTTTTTTTTTTTTTTTTTTTTTTTTTTTTTTTTTTTTTTTTTAATCCCTGCATCAAAGCAACTTGTTCAAACCAAACTCTTGTGCTGCACAGTGCTGCTGTAGCTGCTTGGAATGCCCAAGCTGAAATTCTCCAGGTTTATTTCCAGGATTGTGTAGCTCTGATGTGGTTTGAATGAAGTTGCCTGAGAAGATCGATTCCTTGGAGAGGATGTGTGGTAATTCCTAGGTACATACTGCTCCTGAAGAAAGAATACTGGCRTTGAGTGCACAGCAACATGGGGAATGTCACACTTGGTCACCATCAGCTATTTTAACAATGAGCAGTGAAGGAAAAGTGCAGGTGGAAACATCACCTGAGCAGCAGCTGTGGGAGCCTTACAGTGTAAGTTGTTCTCCACTGGAGGTTGGTTCCTTGGGCAGGCCTGGCAGGATAAGGTCCCAGCACTCCTGGGTGAGTGCATGGAGCTGGTTTGCCAGCTTGATCTTATCACAGGGTCACAGAATGRTTTGGGTTGAAAAGGACCATAAAGATCACACAGTTCCAATCCCCCTTCCATAGCCAGGGACACCTTTCCAACCACACCAGGTTGCTCAGTGCCCCATCCAGCCTGGCTTTGAACACTTCCATGGATGGGGCAGCCACAGCATCTCTGGGCAGCTTATGCCAGTTTCTCACCACCCACRCAGTGATGAAATTTTCTGGCATTTCCAGAAGTTTCACCTTTGCCTTTCTCTAGTAAAATTCATGTTTAAAGTACAGAGGGATTGCTGTTCCTGAGCTTGCATTTGCTGTTACAGATGTTTGTACTGGAGATTGACCACTATCTCGTTTAGTGGCAGTTTCATCTGTGTAGTGGCACCACTGAACACAGAGGCTCTTGACAACACAAAAATKGAACTGGTCTTGTTGTAAATGAGATGGGAAAACCATTGGCCTGGCTGGGTTCCCAGAGCWATGCTGTGTTTCCCTCAGAGAGGCMAATGACACCCCAGCCYGTACCAGTGGCTGGCTTTGATTTCACCTCAACCTGTGCCTGTGGTTTGGGGATTGTGTTGGCGCTGGCTGGAGCTGAGCTCCCCTAAACAGCAGTTTTGTCTGTGGCTGTGCCAGGCTGCAGGGCCAGCACGGGCACACAGGGGCTGTGGGGTGGCATCTGCTGCTGCCTCCTGGGAGGGAGAGCCGCTGCCACCACCTCCCTGCCAGCTCCTGGCCACGGCAGCCAGCCCGGGGCTCTGTCCTGGCTGTGGCCCAGCTCCCCATCCCGCTGCCTGCAGGGGCAGCCAGGCTGCGATTGCTGCCTTTGCCAGGGAGCCTTCTGCCAGCTTTGAAAGCGATACTGTGTCCCTCAGGGCCGGGCAGGAGGAGGTGACAGCAGGCTCCAGCCCCTGCTGCCAGGGGCTAAAGGAAGTCCCTGCTGGCCGAGACAGACGAGCGAGAGCAGCCGGGGGCTTTGGCCGGTGTCACTGTGTAGGGGCTTCCCTGGCAGCTCCCTGTCCCTGTCTGGGAAAGGCCAACCCTTGGTGCAATGGTGGCCTCCAGTAAGGCTGGCAGCTCCTGCCACTGTCCCCGCAGCCTTTCCTCGAGGAGAGCTGAGGGAGCACCCACGCACACCCCTGTGCCACACACACTGGTGGGAATGGCAGCAACAGCTGCTGCCCCTGGAGCAGCCAAACAGGGCTAAAGCCAGGGCTCAGTGCCCAACCCTCCTCTGCTGCCAGCAGCGGCCTGCCTGGGCAAAGGCGGKGTGCCAGGGCTCCCAAAATTTGAGGCAGCAGCAGCAAGCAAAGCAGGGAGAGCTGATGAAATTTCCTGCGGGTATTTACAGCACAAATGTGCTCGGTGGCGTCTGAGTGGGGCCATTCCGGTTTGCAGCACATGCTGATGAGGAGTGGCGTGGCTGTGCCTGATGTCACGGGGACAGTGACAGAGATGTTCACTGGCCAAGTGACAGGAGGTGGAAAGGCTCCTGCCAAGGGCAGGCAGAGGTGGTGTGGGGGAACAGCCTGTGCCGAGGGATGGGGGAGCTCCCAGGGGGACAGGAGCAGCAATCCCCCTCAGGGAAGGCCCAGCTGGTGATGGAGTGTTTGGCACACGGGGGKTTGATGCTCCTTCTCTGCTTGCTTTTGAGAATTTGCTCAGCACAAAAGTATGTGCTGCATTAGGCTGCCCTCAGCCCCSCTTCCCTGCAAGCAGAGGCCTGGGAGAGTCCAGGGTTCTGTGCTGACATGGCCACTGGGCTTTCTCAGCAGAAAAGTGTCCCAAAATACTCTGAGAAGCCCGAGTTTGAGGTGTGCATGAAACCAAGCAGAACTCTGGTTCTTGTCCTTCACTGTGGCAGGGACGGGCCACACAACCCTCATAACACACTTGGCATGTGTGGCTGGCTGTGGCCACTGCTCTGCCCAGCCTGCCATGTGCCAGTCTCTTGCCAAGCGTAAGCCAGCTCAGGCCAGCCGCCTTTTGTGCCTGATCCCAACTGCAAACAGCTGCCGTAAATCCAGGGCTGATTTTCCTACCRTTCTGCAGAATGAAGTCATCCCTGTCTGGCCACACTTG